CACACCACACAACTACACCAGTCACACCACACCAGCCACACCAGTCACACCAGACAACTACACCAGTCACACCATACAGCTACACCAGTCACACCATACCAGCCACACCAGTCACACCACACAGCTACACCAGTCACACCATACCAGCTATACCAGTCACACTCTGACATACCAGTCACACCATACCAGCTATACCAGTCACACTCTGACATACCAGGCACACCATACCAGCTATACCAGTCACACTCTGACATACCAGTCACACCATACCAGCTATACCAGTCACACTCTGACATACCAGTCACACCACACCAACTATACCCATCACACCACACAGCTACATCAGTCACACTCTGCCATGCCAGTCACACCACACCAGCAACACCAGCCACACACGATACCACACCAGTCATATCACCACAGCATCTACACCAGTCACACCAATCACACATCAGTCACACTGCCACACCACTCCATCCCACCATTCTGTGCATGCTTTCTAGAGAGTTACAGTCTTGATTAAGGAATATAAAGAAAAGCACATTTTCTAGAACTGACAGGAAATCTGGGTGTGGATTCAATGCCTTAGATGCTGGGGTGTGGGGAAGAGGGAGGGAGGGAGCAAAAGACAAAGGGTGGGAGGGTGGGGAAGAGAAGAGCAGGCAGGCACGCCTATGCCAGGTGGCTCTGTCTCATTTCGGGACTGGCAAAGACCCTGTGACTCTACCCCAAACCCATTGCCGATGACCGACTCACAGTGATTGGATAGGACAGAGCACATCTTCCCCTTAGGGTTTCCAAAGCTGCCAATCTCTACAGAACCAGACTGCCACCTCCTTCTCCCTGGGAGTGGCTAGTAAGCTCGAACTACCACCCCTTTGGTTAGCAGCTAAGAACTTCAACCACCATGCCACCTGGGATCCTTGCTCCCAGGCCCTCAGCAGGGGCTCTTCCTACAGAAACCTGTCAATTTTGCACGGGGTCGGGGAGTACTTAGACTGAAAGCTATTGTTTCTGAAATTCAAATTTAACGGGACATTCTATAACGTTAAATTTGACAGCCGTGGAGAGGGGAGGAACCCAGTTAGTAAGTTCATGGATGGGTTTTTTAAGAGGAGGGTCGGGGAAACAGTAGGTAAGTTCTCCTGAAGCTGAAGGTCACGCAGGGTCAAGAGCCCTGTAGAACAAGGTAGAATTGCCCCATGGGGCTTTCTGGGCTATAATCCTTACAGGGACAGACTGTCACATAGGTCTCATTAGGAGTAGCTGGTGGGCTCGAACTGCTACTCCTTTCAGTTAGCAGCTGAGTGCTTAACCACTGCACCACCAGGGAACTAATACAGTAGCCTCTAAACCTTTCAGACATGCCCTCTGTATAAATGAACCATCTGAAGGAATGAAGCCTACTGCCTGTGCTTATTCTGAACAAATAGCGGAAGACCTACAGATGACTTCCTTCTGGGGTCAACCGGTGGCTACGACACACTGACCGAGGCCAGCCAGAGTGTTCCCCTTGGATGCTGTGAGATTTCCTCACGATTTCCCGTTTGGAACTGCTGTTACTGACTGCATTCTTTCGTTTCTGCCATCACACCCAGGCTTGGGAGACAGTGTTGGAGGCAGACAGCGTTGCTGGGTTACAAATTTCTACCTACTTCCTCAGTGACAGCCAAGGCAGACAGACAGTCAGAGAATGATCATGAAGACAGACACAGACAGAGAAGAGAAGCCTGAGTCTGCAGAGCTGAGGCTGGATTCCCGGCCCCTCACTGTTGAAGACAGAATAACTGTTCCTGTGTATAACACGCAACTTCAGGGTGCTCAGACAAAATTCCCATCAAGTGGTGTAATTATAGGGAGAAGCCGTTCAACAAAGGGGTGGGAGGGGAGTATGAGGGAAAGTCATCATAAAAGAAAGTGGACCAGCAGCCTGTACCAGCCAGTGGAAGAGGGTTAGCACCGTGTCTGCCAGAACCGAGGCAGGTAAAGACCACGGACCAGGACCACGGCTTGTTACCGTGAGCCACGATTTTCATTCTGAGATACACTAAACTAATGTTTCCTATTTATAAGGGTCCAGTGCTGAGCCTGCAGTGCCACGCCAGGACTCCATTTTACATATCTAATACATGCATGCACGCATACATGTAATACATGCATGCACCCACATACAATGCCTATGGGCATGTTTGCGTATACAATACAAATATGCATGTGTCTACATACAATACTTACGTGCATGTATATGCATATAACACACTTGTATGTGTTTACACATATAACACATGCATGTGTTTGCCTATATAACATATTACTGTGTATTTGCATATGTAATATGTATTTTTTGAGATACACTAGTTTTTCTTATTTGGGGATGGGGGAGTGAATCATTTAACCTCATTCATGTGAAAAACACCACAAAACCCAGTGTGCGTGTATGAGGAGCAGACCCAAATATGTGGGGGCTTCATCAAGTCTGTGGAAAGACAGACTCAAAAGATAATGGGATTCCTCCATGAACTTTTGGAAAAAGTGATGATGGTGATGGTGGTGTGTGTGTCTGTGTGTCTGTGTACACAGGCTGGGGCATCCAAAAGATCATGGAAAAATGGAATTAAAGATTCAAAAATTTGTGGGAAAACAGAATGAAAAGCTAGCGGGAATTTTCCACAAACTTTTTGAAGCCTCCTTGTATTAGTAAAATAGCAGAGTGGCACACAAAATCGAGGATATTACCCATAAGGTGGGTGGCTCTACCTAGAAACTATTAGTATGAAACTAAAAGGCCAACAATTACTCAAGGAGAAATGAGAAGTGAAGGAGGCAGGGAAAGTAGACAAGAATATAAAAGGAATAAACAGGAGACAATTAACGAGAAAGTTGATACACTGAGTAATTCATGTGGAAATTGCCAAATAGGAACCTAACTTGCTGTATAAAGTTTCACCACAACCTCAGTAAGATCATATTTTTTAGAAAAAGAAGACTATAATCATTTATTAAAAGCTATTTGAAAAAATTTTCAACTTTAATCTTACCAGTTGACCTTCTTTCTGAAGGAAACAAAACAAAACCAAAAGTCCAAAGAATATAAACCTTACTTGTTCAGTGAAATGAATCATAAAACCACTACTATTCCTTAGTATTACTGATCAAATTAAGCATATCTAAGTAAAGATAAGGCCTGCTGTGGCACTGTAGGATAAGCACTGGACTGCTAACCACAAGGTAGGCAGTTCAAATCCACCAGTCGCTCCTTGGAAGCCCTGGGCAGGGTCCGTTATGAGCTGGAATCGACTCAACGGCACTTAACAGGCTAAAAGCAAAATGATGATCCCACAAGCAGATCTTTCCTTTCTAAGATTCAAGAGTTGAGCGTACTTGTTGCTGGTCCTTTCCCCAGTTCCATAGAAGAATTCAATGTGAAATACTCATTTTCTGGTCTATTTCTAAGGCTGCTGATAATAACAAAGAAAGGCAATGTTGAGAAAAGGTGACGAGAACACCACATGCAACCAGTATATTAGCATAAAAGTTCAAACTATTCTGAAATTCGTCGTATTTCTATCTACTGAGATCCGGAGAGCAGACTTCTCCCCTGCTTCTCCCAAGGGCTCTGAGCAGAACTAACGAGGGTCTGGATTTTCTTAAGGTCCCTTCCCCCCCCCCACCAGGGACAGCCAACCACAGCTCCTGGACAACAGCTGAGTCGGACACACAGACACCAGTGACGGGCTGGAGAGCAGAGACACGAACGAGAGAAAAGTACTTGCTGGGAATACTCATTGAGAGCCTGCAAAGACAGCAAACAGAAAGCGAGGCGCGTGGACGGGACAATGCGAGAGAGCCGGGCTTCTACAGAAGAATGAAAGAGTGACTTTGGCTCTGTCTGCGGTCTAGGATGACTGCCCTGGCTGGAATTCTGCTCACTGTGGTATCTGAGAGGTGTCTACGGTTCTTACTCGGGTTTCCAGTTCAGGCGGTGAAACAAAACCACCAGTTCTCTTCTGATGGCGGGGGTCACAAGCCCCACCCCGGGAATCACTGAAACCTCCTCCCACTTGGCTCCCTGAGCAGGGGTCTCACCAGACCGTTGGTGTGATTGCACATGTCCCACAGGGGGATGAGGGCCAGGGTCACCCGGGAGCCGTCCTCTGTGGGGATCTGGTTTTGTCTTGTCATCACAGAGGACACAGCCCACCTACAAGAGTCAAGGCGGAAAAGTGGGAGTTAGGGTCCGAACATCGAAAGCCCTCTCTCAGGAAAATCACCAGAAATGTCGGGCTGTCTGATGGCTCAATGTCTCATTCATTTTCAAACCCTTTTCCCCTGAGGACCAAAGGAAAAACCAGCCAGGGGGTGGGGGGGATGAGATCTGTGGAAGGAGAAAGCCCACCTGCTGGAAGAAACAGGGAGAAGGCAGCTGGCCTGGCTCCCCAGCCCTGAATTCCTAGTGGGCCTTCTTTGCTAATCAAGCCGATGTCCCCACCTCGACGCAGACTGCGTGCATCTCCACCGTGGGCTTAAGGCCAATGGATGCTGGGCCTCCATGCCTGTGAAGGCAGTGTGTGGACTGGTAGGCCTTCATACTGTGTACAATGGGTCCATTGTCTTTCTGTTCAAAAACAAGTCCACTTCATTGTAAAACAGTCTACTTAACAGGAAGACTTCCTCAGGAACCCGCACACTGACCTGAACCTCAAGCGTCCTTTGATTCCCTCAACAATCCCCTACCTCTGCCCGTTACTGCCAGGGTCCACACCACTGAGCCCAACTTTCCAAAGACGGGCTGCCCCTGGCTTCCCACAGTCATAGCAGACCACTCCTGACCCAGACGTTCCCCTCGCGTAGGACAGCCCCCATCCAGTGCACACGCCTGCGCACACTCACATACACATGCTCACCCACACGCAGCGGCTCCCCACCAACCTGTAGTCCTCGTAAGTGAAAGAGTCCTTCAAGGGCAGCTTGTTGGCGTGAGGATGGGTCTGGGAATTGGAAGTTTGAGAAGACAGGGGTGAAGAGAGAAAAACGGGAAAACAAATCAGTCAGCAGAATTGCATTATTTAGCTGCTAACAGATCCTAACAAGAGCCAAATGAAGCAGGAGGCGTCCAGCCCCGCTCCCAGGGATCATCACGCTATTACGCTCTCATACATCACTGTCAACTTAATTTGTTGTGCCCAGCAGCCGCCATAAATCTGCTGCCTCATATTTCGATACGAGGACCCTCAGATACAGCACAAAAATACAATTTAAAGTAGTCCGACTTTACACACGGGTAGGCACGCCCAGGCTAGGGGCAGATCTGATCCCAAACAGAAGCCCAGAGTCTGGGCCTTGAGGGGCCTTTCCACCACAGAGGGAGACATGAGATCTCCTGTGTCCACATGGACAATGGCCACTGGAAATTCTTTCGTTTGTCTCTGACTTAGAGTCATATTCACAGGCAAGGGGCTCAAGTACAGATCACAGAGAAAAACAGTTTTGTGAAATTAAAAAATAAAATTTCCACGGCGGTGAGAGAAAAGGTATTTTAAAATGAGAATCAAAGTCTTTTCGTCTGACTCCTTTTAAAAATATTAACCCCGTCCCACCCCATCCTACCTCCCCGCCACGGACAAAAGAACAGTTGATAAAAATATCCCCAACTTCACACTTAACAGAAAATTTTAGACATTTCATATTCAGTCTTCACAACGCCCCCACCTTAGACCTCTCAAGCACTTCAAAACTTGGTCTCAATTAAGAAATTAAAGGCTACAAGTGTGCAACGTTAACCTCCCGCTTCCGTTACAGACTGACAGACAGACTGCAGTCAGCGATCAGAGGGACAAATGGAGCTGCTGTCCCCGCTGCTGTGAAGGCCCCCAGCTCCTCCAAGTGTAGTGGGCGGGTCCGCTTCACTCTGACACCTCAGGATCACCAGGGCCCAATCATTTATCAGCCCTTCCCATAATGTAGTTGCTGGCACCGGAAGCAGGACAGTAGGGGATGAGGGGAAAGTGGCCCTAACACACCGTAAATCAATTAGAAAACAAAACGGTTTGTGCGGTGGTGTGCAATTTTAGGCAATTACAGATGACAAAAGGCTGCCAAGTGGGTGTTGGCCCCACCCCCACCCCATGCCTGTCTCTCCCTTCTAATCCTGAGCCCAGTTTTAACTCTTTGGGAGGAAAGTCAAGATCTAAAACAGAATTCACGTATTCTCCAAAATGGAGTTTTGCGACAGTAAAAAAAAACCAGCTAAGGAACTATCTTTTTAGTCCGTACATAAAATAACACATCACCCAGGGCCAGGGTGGTTTCTCGTCATCATAGGAATACCTGGTTACTCTATCTGGGGAAAACAACAACAACAACAAAATCAATACCATAGTCAACTCTATCCAAGAGACGGAAACCCAGAGGACTAAATCACCCCAGTCCTTTCACTTGTAAAGGCTGAGAAGCTCCTGCTGAAAGGCATTCTCCCATTTCATCCCATTTTCATGACAAAGCTAAAGATCTAACAAAAGGGACCCACCCACCTCTCCCCAGTAGGATCATTAAAACAACCAAGGAAGGAAGACACATGGAATTCTTATGTTATTTCACTAATAAATGATGAACTTTCAAATGATCTCATCATCTGGTATATACTGTGAGTCCCCTCTCTTCTCAAACTCTAGGAGGTAAGAAAGCTTTGGTATTTTGCAATTTTCAAATGTTTTCATTCGCTTACACTGTGGAATTCACTATGGAAATTCGGAAGTTATTAAAATCCCATAATCACTGAAAATGACAAAAAAGAGAGCAAGAGAGTCTGATTTATTAAATATGAGAAAAGATGGCAATTTTCAAAATTGGACTGCTGAATGTCAAAATAAGTTGAGGGAGTGATCTCTACTTGCACATACCAGCCTTGGTCCTTACAAAATCTATTCAATTAATGAGGGTGCCCTCACCAGGGACCAATGAGATGGAAAATGAGTCACTCAGTACTGTGTGCACATGCTTCTTACCCAAAATTGAAGCCCATGCTTCTGAGGAAGTTGTGAGGAAAACTGGGGAGTGGGGGGGTGACAGGGTGGAGGGAGGTGGAAATGCATTCTTCAAATTAATTCTGAGGAGAATTTTGGCTGTTCTTGTTATTAAACGCTGTATGTAGGGGTATGTAGTATCTGCAGGGCCTGTGAGAAACACTAATTCTTAGCTAAGTTAAAAAACATTTATATACACACACACACACAATGTTGTTGTTGTTAACTACTGTGGAGTCGGTTCTGACTCAGTGACCCTACACAGGGTTTCCGAGGCTGAAAATCTTTACAGGAGCAGACGTCTCATCTTCCTCCCGTGGAACAGCTGGTAATTTCGAACTGCCAATCTTGAGGTTAGCAGCCCGATTCGTAAACAGTACGCTACCAGAGATCCTTTATTTTATATATATATA